TAAGCTGAAAAGAGCAGGGCCCTCGATCCCCTCATGTTTTGCATTGTATTGGTATTGTTCTGTCACATGTTCTGTCCCCCTTTGTAATGTACAGCGCTGAGCGAACTATTGGCGCTTTATAAATACTGTATAATAATAATAATAATAATAATAATAATATATTAAGGAGAGTACAGTATATTTATACCCGCTAAATCCTTATTGTCATCATGTTTAATATTTGGGTAACAATATGTCTATGTCAATTTCCATTTATATATGAGTTGTGCTTAATAAAATATGTACTATATCTTAGAAGCTTGACCCAAAGCATACAAGTAATTCAGCAAAACAATGGCTGCAACAGCACAGAATACGCCTTCTGGAGTGGCCCAGTCAGAGTCCTGACCTCAACCCCATTGAAATGCTGTGGCATGACCTTAAGAGAGCGATTCACACCAGACATCACAAGAATATTGCTACACTGAAACAGTTTTGTGAAGAGGAGTGGTCCAAAATGACTCCCAGAGTGTCAGCTAAAGACCTACAGAAATCTCTGGCACATGCTAACATTTTTGTTGACACATCTACAATAAGGAAAACATTAAACAAGAATGGAGTACATGGGAGTGCAAGGACACCACGGAGGAAGCCATTGCTGTCCAAAAAGAAGATTGCAGCACGTTTGAAGTTTGCAAAAGAGCACCTGGATGTTCCACAGCACTACTGGCAAAATATACTGTGGACAGATGAAACCAAGATTGAGTTGTTTGGGAAGAACACACAACACTATGTGTGGAGAAAAAAAGGCACAGCACACCAACATCAAAACCTCATCCCCACTGTAAAACATGGCGGAGGGAGCATCATGGTTTGGGGCTGCTTTGCTGCCTCAGGGCCTGGACGGATTGTTGTCATTGATGGGAAAATGAATTCCAGAGTTTATCAAGACATTTTGCAGGAAAACGTACGGACCATCTGTCCGCCAACTGAAGCTCCGCAGAGGATGGGTGATGCAACAGGACAATGACCCAAAGCATACAAGTCATTCAACAAGACAATGGCTGCAACAGCACAGAATACGCCTTCTGGAGTGGCCCAGTCAGAGTCCCGACCTCAACCCCATTGAAATGCTCTGGCATGACCTTAAGAGAGCGATTCACACCAGACATCCCAAGAATATTGCTACACTGAAACAGTTTTGTGAAGAGGAGTGGTCCAAAATGACTCCAGATTGTTGTGCAGGTCTGATCTGCAACTACAGGAAACGTTTGGTTGAACTCATTTTAAGTTATTGCTGCCAAAGGAGGGTCAACCAGTTATTAAGTCCCAAAGGTTCACATACGTTTTCCTCCCTGCACTGTGAATGTTTACATGTTATGTGCAATGAAACCATGGCAACATCTAATGTTTGTGGAGTATTATGTTCAGCAGACTGTGTTCTTCTATTGTTGTGACGTAGATGACATTCAGAGCACATTTTATGCCCAATTCATGCAAAACTCCACGTAATCCCAAGGGGTTCACATACTTTTTCTTGCAACTGTAGATCACAGCCATTCATGGGTGCACTTACCACATGAGTGTGTTTTCTGAAGCACAGTTTATATACAGTGGGGCAAAAAAGTATTTATTCAGCCACCAATTGTGCAAGTTCTCCCACTTACAAAGATGAGAGAGGCCTGTAATTGGCATCATAGGGAGACCTCAACTATGAGAGACAAAATGAGAAAAACAAATCCAGACAATCACATTGGCTGATCTGGAAAGAATTTATATGGTGGAAAATAAGTATTTGGTCAATATGAAAAGTTCATCTCAATACCTTGTTATATATCCTTTGTTGGCAATGACAGAGGTCAGACGTTTCCTGTAAGTCTTCACAAGGTTGGCACACATTGTTGCTGGTATGTTGGCCCATCCTCCATGCAGATCTCCTCTAGAGCAGAGCACATTTTATGCCCAATTCATGCAAAACTCCACGTAATCCCAAGGGGTTCACATACTTTTTCTTGCAACTGTACCTTTGATAGTCAAGTAATTCCAGAACATTAGAAGTATTTATAATATATATATATATATATTTTTTTTTATATATATATGTGTATATATATTTATATATACATATACACATTGGTGTGTTTTTGTCCAGCTCATTTAACAATTAAGTGCAATTAACATGTTAAAGGCTGTGAACAAAAATTAATTACTGGTTTTCAAAATCAATTGTCTACACTCCAGCACCGAGGCTGCAGGTATCATTATCACTCATTTAAGTTGGATAGATGAAATAGCATGACAGCCTCAATTTTCAGCCACTCATGGCATGTAACCCCATTAAAGCCTTCCCACTATAGAGGAGATTACCATAAGTTATCCACCGTGAATACAATTTATCTGCTGTTCAAATAAACCCTTTGGCTCTCATTATAAACACAAACACAGCAGGATTTATTTTATGCCCAGAGATAATTATCTGCTCAAAATGTTTTTCCACTTAGGCCAGCAGCAGTCTGGTAAAGCAAGTGAACTTCCTGTGTCTATTACTTTTACTAGCGAGTAACATTACTGCTACAAACCGAATATTTCCTTCACTGTTCATTTTTTACAAAATAATTATACAAATGTAGGGTATTGTGTCTGTCATTTACAAAACAGTTATGCAAATGCACAATGTTCATTCATATTATTCAACAGTATCCTTTTGCTATGGTTTATTGTACAAATATATACAGTGGGGATCGAAAGTTTGGGCACCCCAGCTAAAAATTTGTATTAATGTGCATAAAGAAGCCAAGGAAAGATGGAAAAATCTCCAAAAGGCATCAAATTACAGATTAGACATTCTTATAATATGTCAACAAAAGTTAGATTTTATTTCCATCATTTACACTTTCAAAATAACAGAAAACAAAAAAATGGCGTCTGCAAAAGTTTGGGCACCCCAGCTAAAAAATGCAGTATTAATGTGCATAAAGAAGCCAAGGAAAGATGGAAAAATCTCCAAAAGGCATCAAATTACAAATTAGACATTCTTATAATATGTCAACAAAAGTTAGATTTTATTTCCATCATTTACACTTTCAAAATAACAGAAAACAAAAAAATGGCGTCTGCAAAAGTTTGGGCCCCCTGCAGAATTTATAGCATGCACTAAAATCTAACTTTTGTTGACATATTATAAGAATGTGTAATCTGTAATTTGATGCCTTTTGGAGATTTTTCCATCTTTCCTTGGCTTCTTTATGCACATTAATACACATTTTTAGCTGGGGTGCCCAAACTTTCCATCCCCACTGTATATTTTACAGAAAACAGAAAGGTAAAGGTAGAAGTGAAGTGGAAGAAAAGTACTCCTTTGTTAAATTTCCCACCTTGTGTACTTTATTCTTCTATTAGACTAAAAACATACACAATTCAACTGCATTATTATATTATTTCTCAGTTCTGTTCATGTCGAAAATCCATAAAATAACCTTAATAATTCATTGATTCTTAGCAAAGGATCTATATATATTAATGATACATTTTTTCAGTCAAACCAGCTCTTAGATGAGTAATTCAGTAAGAAGCCGGCATTTCATGGGAAAAAAAGTTTTGATAATATTACCTCTTTCAGCACACCAATTGCAATGACTGAAAGACAATAAGCAATTCATTATCTTTGTGAAAAAATGTTGTTATTGGCTAAACTGCCCGTACCCTGGAAAGCTGTAGAGAAACGGCCTCTGTATTCCATGTATGGTAAGTGTGATCCGCAATCTCAGAGCTAAAATAAAGTCATTCTAGATTGTAAGCTCCAAGGAGCAGGGCCCTCGATCCCCTCCTGTACCACCATCCCCTCCCTCCTAGATTGTAAGCTCCAAGGAGCAGGGATCCCCTCGATCCCCCCCTCCTGTACCACCATCCCCTCCCTCCTAGATTGTAAGCTCCAAGGAGCAGGGCCCTCGATCCCCTCCTGTACCACCATCCCCTCCCTCCTAGATTGTAAGCTCCAAGGAGCAGGGCCCTCGATCCCCTCCTGTACCACCATCCCCTCCCTCCTAGATTGTAAGCTCCAAGGAGCAGGGCCCTCGATCCCCTCCTGTACCACCATCCCCTCCCTCCTAGATTGTAAGCTCCAAGGAGCAGGGCCCTCGATCCCCTCCTGTACCACCATCCCCTCCCTCCTAGATTGTAAGCTCCAAGGAGCAGGGCCCTCGATCCCCTCATGTACCACCATCCCCTCCCTCCTAGATTGTGAGCTCCAAGGAGCAGGGCCCTCGATCCCCTCCATGTACCACCATCCCCCTCCCTCCTAGATTGTAAGCTCCAAGGAGCAGGGCCCTCGATCCCCTCATGTACCACCATCCCCTCCCTCCTAGATTGTAAGCTCCAAGGAGCAGGGCCCTCGATCCCCTCTGTACCACCATCCCCTCCCTCCTAGATTGTAAGCTCCAAGGAGCAGGGCCCTCAATCCCCTCATGTTTTGCATTGTATTGGTATTGTTCTGTCACATGTTCTGTCCCCCTTTGTAATGTACAGCACTGAGCGAACTATTGGCGCTTTATAAATACTGTATAATAATAATAATTCTAAATGTAAACACTTGTACTAGGTCAGTAAATTCAGCTGGAACTAAGTGATATATTTTTTTTTCTACGATACACATTAATAAGATGAGGGCCTTAATTCTCAGAATGAACATTTTGCCACTCACTACCACTGGTCAGTATTCAAGAGACTATGAAATGATAAATCTTGAGGTGTGGTACAATCGCCATGTACATATGCGGGCTGGATCTACATGTTTTTAATTCATTTAACTTTATTGCTATCACAAGGGGTGAACAAGCTTTTTGTGATAGCTTTGGGCAGTGAAAGGTATTCTATGTGAAGAGATCGAGGGTGTATTAGGCCCATTCCTCTGTATTTTAACCACCTTCCGCCCGCCATATAGTACAATGACGGGCGCAAGGTGGTTCTCTCGTTCTGATAGGACGTCATATGACGTCCTTCCATTCTCACCGCGCATGCGCAGCTCAGGGAGCGCGCAGCGCGGGGATCGCCGGTGCACTGTGCCCTCGGACACAGGGGTTCACGGAAAGAGCCGAAGATGTCGGCTCGGTCATGTGATCAGCTGTGTCCAATCACAGCTGATCACATGTAAACACGGAAATGCCGGTTATCGGCTTTTTTCTCCTCTCGAGCTGTCACGCTGACAGAGGAGAGGAGAGCCAGTAATTGGCTTTCTGCGGAGGGGACATGTACACTGATCATTTGGGCACTGATGATCAGTGTGCCCTGATGATCAGTGTGGCCCCAGAAGTGCCACCTGTCAGTGTCCATCAGTGCCAGCAGCCAGTGCTCATCAGTGCCACGTGCCAGTGCCCATCTGAGCTGCCTTTCAATGTCACCCATCAGTGCCAGTCAATGCCACCTATCAATGCCAATCAGTGCCACCTATTAGTGCTGCCAATCAGTGCCACCTATCAGTGCCAATAAGTGTCGCCTATCAGTGCGCATCAGTGCCAGTCAGTGTCGCCTATCAGTGCCAGTCAGTGCTGCCTATCAGTGGCAGTCAGTGCTGCCTATCAGTGCCATATATCAGTGTCATGTATCAGTGCTGCCTTTCAGTGCCCATCAGTGATGCCTGTCAATGCCCATCAGTGCAACCTACCAGTGCCTCCTCATCAGTGCCCCCTATCAGTGCAGCCTATCAGTGCCCATCACTGCAGCCTCATTAGTGCACATCAGTGAAGGAGAAAAATCACTTATTTACAAAATTGTATAACAAAAACTAAGAAAAAAACATTTTTTGTTTGTGGTTTTTGGTTTGTTTAAGAAAAAATAAAAATCCCCGAGGTGATTAAATACCACCAAAATAAAGCTCTGTCTAAATGATAAAAATTTCATATGGATACAGTGTTGCATGACCGCGCAATTGTCATTCAAAGTGCGACAGCGCTGAAAGCTGGAAATTGGCCTGGGCAGGAAGGGGGTAGAAGTGCCCTGTAGGCAGGAAGGGGGTAGAAGTGCCCTGTAGGCAGGAAGGGGGTATAAGTGCCCTGTAGGCAGGAAGGGGGTATAAGTGCCCGGTGGGCAGGAAGGGGGTAGAAGTGCCCTGTAGGCAGGAAGGGGGTAGAAGTGCCCTGTAGGCAGGAAGGGGGTATAAGTGCCCTGTAGGCAGGAAGGGGGTAGAAGTGCCCGGTAGGCAGGAAGGGGGTAGAAGTGCCCTGTAGGCAGGAAGGGGGTAGAAGTGCCGGTAGGCAGGAAGGGGGTAGAAGTGTCCTGTAGACAGGAAGGGGGTAGAAGTGCCCTGTAGACAGGAAGGGGGTAGAAGTGCCCTGTAGGCAGGAAGGGGGTAGAAGTGCCCTGTGGGCAGGAAGGGGGTAGAAGTGTCCTGTAGACAGGAAGGGGGTAGAAGTGCCCTGTAGGCAGGAAGGGGTAGAAGTGCCCTGTGGGCAGGAAGGGGGTAGAAGTGCCCTGTAGGCAGGAAGGGGGTAGAAGTGCCCTGTAGGCAGGAAGAGGGTAGAAGTGTCCTGTAGGCAGGAAGGGGGTAGAAGTGTCCTGTAGGCAGGAAGGGGGTAGAAGTGCCCGGTAGGTAGGAAGGGGGTAGAAGTGCCCTGTAGGCAGGAAGGGGGTAGAAGTGCCTGTAGGCAGGAAGGGGGTAGAAGTGCCCTGTAGGCAGCAAGGGGGTAGAAGTGCCCGGTAGGCAGGAAGGGAGTAGAAGTGCCCTGTAGGCAGGAAGGGGTAGAAGTGCCCTATAGGCAGGAAGGGGGTAGAAGTGCCCTGTAGGCAGGAAGAGGGTAGAAGTGCCCGGTAGGCAGGAAGGGGGTAGAAGTGCCCTGTAGGCAGAAGGGGGTAGAAGTGCCCTGTAGGCAGGAAGGGGGTAGAAGTGCCCTGTAGGCAGGAAGGGGGTAGAAGTGCCCTGTAGGCAGGAAGGGGGTAGAAGTGCCCTGTAGGCAAGGGGTTAAAGCATCTGATCAAACACAGATTGGTTTGATCAGATGCTTCCCTAGCTGTACCAGTCAGAAAAACACAGAATCTAAACCAGCTGTATAGCCACTTGGATCACTTTTACTGAAAAGCAAATTGTTGGCTGAAGAAAACCATGATTCTGGATAAACTGCTTGCTTCTGGGACTGTATATAAAGCCTGTGGGCAGCAGTGAATCCCTGGCACTTCCTAGTGACAAAAACCTATGCTACTCTCTGTCTTCCAGATGCATCATGAGAAATTGTTATTAACAGGCTTCCTACCCCAAATCTGGCCAGGCTTCATTCCCAGCTCCTTAGGAGAAAGTTAGATTTTGAAGATAACAATAAAATCTGATCCCCAGCACTTCCTGGACATAAGGAGCTTACACTATTCACTGTCTTCCAGATGCATTATGGGAGTCTGATGTAATCAAGTTTCATATTCAAAATCTGTTCAGACTTCTGCTATAAAATACACTTTCCCCTTGATTATAATATTCTGTGATATTTCACAATTCTGCCAACCTAATAAACTATGTTTATGGAATAAGGGTGTCCAAAGGCTGCTTATACAGAGATCCACCTGACCAATACAAAACATTTCCCGTCCTTTTAATTTATTACAGTCCTATATAACTTAACCACTTCCCGACCGGCCGTTGTATATAAACAGCCGGACGGTGGTACTGCAGGGTCGGGTGGCCATTTAAAAACAGCCTCCCTGCACCCTGCTTGTGCGCGCTCCCCGGGAGCGCACAGCAACGCGATCCGGTGCCTGCTGTGTCCTCCAGACATAGTGAAACACCGATCGTCGGACGGGACCTCTGTACGAGGTCCCGATCATGTGATCACTGATTGGCCAATCAGTGATCACATGCAAAGTAGTAAGCAAGATGTCACTTGTGACATCATTGCTTACTACGTATGAAATTTGTGAATGATCACAAAGGTCACATGGTACAAGGCTATTCACAACAGCCTTGTACCATGTGACAAGCTGTGACCAATCACAGCTCACTCAGTACTTCTCAATGACTGCAAGAATGCAGACAGAGAGAAAGAGAAATGATTGCTTTTACATCCTATATGGGTGTAAAAGCAAACAGTGTAAAAAAAAAAAAAAAATCTTCATCACCCCCCAAAAGTAGTACAGTGTCACCATGGTGACAGTATGTAAAAAAAAAAAAATAATAATAATAAAATAAATAATAATGTAAAAAAAAAAATAAAAATGTAAAAAAAAAGTTTAAAAATTATAATTTTTGGTTATAAACTAATTTTGCTTATTTTTTTTTTTTTTTACTAAAAAGATAACGGAATACATTTTGGCAAAGATTTATGATGAAATATTATTTATTTGCAAAATTTTATAAGAAAAACACTTTTTTTCAAAATTTTGGGACTTTTTCATTTACATAGCAAAAAAAATAAAAATCCCAGCGGTGAATAAATACCACCAAAATAAAGCTTTATCTGTCTCAAAAAAATGGTAAAAAATTCATTTGGGTACAGTGTTGCATGACCGCGCAATTGTCATTCAAAGTGTGATAGCGCTGAAAGCTGAAAATTGCCCTGGTCAGGAAGGGGGTAAAGTGTCCGGACTGGAAGGGGTTAAGAGAAACCTGTTGTAAAATAAATATGCAGGACGCCATTGCCAACACCAACAGAATTCTTGACACGAATGCTCCTTCATGTTTATTGCTCATAACTACGGACAAGGCATAATGGCTAGACATATAGCATTTTCAAAAGGAGTATTCAGCAATTACAGCCTGCATATTTCTCCTAGGTTTAATTAAACAACCTACAATTCCAACTTTTTTTTTGGGGGGGGGGGGAGATGGCCCTTTAACTTTGGCACCAACCCAATTTGAACAATGCCATAATGACAGCATAACTCTTTCAGGGCTGGACTCGCCACTACATTTATCTATCCTATTAACCACTTCCAGTCCGGACACTTTTACCCCCTTCCTGTCCAGGGCAATTTTCAGCTTTCAGCGCTATCACACTTGGAATGACAATTGCGCGGTCATGCAACACTGTACCCAAATGAATTGTTTACCATTTTTTTGAGACAGATAAAGCTTTATTTTGGTGGTATTTATTCACCGCTGGGATTTTTATTTTTTTTTGCTATGTAAATGAAAATGTCCAAACATTTTGAAAAAAAGTGTTGTTTTTTTTTTTTTATAAAATTTTGCAAATAAATAATATTTCATCATACATCTTGGCCAAGATTTATTCCATTATCTTTTTAGTAAATAAAAAAATCCAAATTAGTTTATAACCAAAAATTATAATTTTTAAATGTTTTTTTTTTACATTTTTATTTTTTTTTTATTTTATTATTATTTTTTATTTATTTATTTTTTTTTTACATACTGTCACCCTAGCAGTACAGTGTCACCATGGTGACACTGTACTACTTGTGGGGGGTGATAAAGTTTTTTTTTTTTTTTTTTTTTTTACACTAATTGCTTTTACACCCATATAGGATGTAAAAGCAATCATTTCTCTTTCTCTCTGTCTGCATTCTTGCAGTCATTGAGAATTACTGAGTGAGCTGTGATTGGTCACAGCTTGTCACATGGTACAAGGCTGTTGTGAATAGCCTTGTACCATATGACCTCTGTGATCATTCACAGATTTCCCACGTAGTAAGCAGTGATGTCAGAAGTGACATCTTGCTTACTACTTTGCATGTGATCACTGATTGGCCAATCAGTGATCACATGATCAGGACCTCGTACAGAGGTCCCGTCCGACGATCGGTGTTTCACTGTGTCTGGTGGACACAGGGGGCACCGGATCGCGGTGCTGCGCGCTCCCAGGGAGAGCGCAAAAGCAGGGTGCGGGGAGGCCGTTTATAAACGGCCACCTGACCCTGCACTGCCACCGTCCGGCCGTTTATATACAAGGGCCGGTCGGGAAGTGGTAAAGGAGCTATAGTACGAAATTGTTGTGGCAATTGTATGGTAATGGGAACTGGGGAAGGGGTGTCTCATCAGTGGAATCTCCAACAAATAAAAGAAGCCAACATGTTCAACCCCAAAAATAACCGACGTATTGGTTTTGGATTAAGATAACCTACACCATGAAAAAGTAGGTGGCTGGTAATAAAATGTTTATGTAAAGCTATCCAAAAGAAGCAACATCTTTTTCAGGCAAAAGGATCCGAGACCTGCAATCATCACAGGAGTTGAGCAATTCTCTTTTTTTTATGAACACATTTTATTGACGTTTTCCATCATGAAGTAGAATGTTTCTGGTTGAAATTCAATTTCAATTTTTTTCACTGAGCCCTTAATTACTATTCATTTATTCCACTAACTATTGCAATCAATGCTATTTCTTAGAATTGTACTGGGACACACAGGAAAAGATGACTTTTTTCCAGGCATACCCATTTTTTGGCAAAACCATGCAATGATACCTTCATTTATGAAGCACAAGTATATCAGGCCAACATCTACATTTGGGCAGATAGCATTTTTTGATATCGTCCTCCGTCTCTGCAGATAAGCTTTAGGTGAGTAAAGATAATTGTACTACCCATTACCGTCTTGTAGAT